TTTACGAAGATTATGTTATCATTTATGGTTTTGACATTGTGGTTCATGACCGGAGACTCATTGCTTTATTGCGTTGTATAATTGAGAAGAATATTGTGGTGAATCCAAATAAGTGTTTATTTTGTGTATCTAGTTTTGGATATGTTGGATACTTAGTTGACGGCGAAGGTCTTAAACCAGATATGTAGCGACTAAATCCACTGACAAATGTACCATCTCCAAAAAATCTTACGAAGCTGCGTTCATTAATGAGTTATCTTTAATAATATTCCTGGTTTAATTACGAATTTTTCTTGTCGTGCCAATTTTTTAGTTAGTATTTTGACATCCAATTCATTTAAATTGGGTGAGGAACATGAGTCATGCTTACAAAGTTTACTAAAGTTTCTTCAAAGTGATGCTATTCTTCAGACTTACTGTCTCTAGTGCACATTCTGTGTTTATTACTGATGCATCACCTGCGGGTATTGATGAGGTTTTGAGCAGGGAGATATACCAGTAACCTACGTTTCACACAAACTTACTGCTACTGCACAAGGTTATTCACAATCGTAGAGAGAAGTATTAGCTGCGTTTTTGGCCGTCAAAAGACTTCACAAATATTTATTCAGAAAGGAATTCACTGTTCTTACTGATCATGAAACTTTAAAGTTCATTCATCATCCTGAAAAATCCTTAGCACATTCCTCAGCTGTTATGATACGACGATATAGTATAGCTCTGAGTGCCAATGACTATATGATTCAGCGCAGGAGTGTCCAACAAGTTCAAAATGTTGACTACATATCTCTGCAGTTATTTCAGGATAGGTTTGCTAACACTTCAGAATGTTTGTTAGTGTAACATTTACTGGTGAGACTGTAATGCGTGCTACTTATATTGACATAAGTAGTATATAACGCGAGTCGGTGATGTAATGTCCGGCAGCAGAAGATTGGGAAGATGAAGAAAGGAAGAACGGCAATAGAAAGCAATTAGTATATAAAATGCAAGAACAATTAAGTTCGAGACAATTATTCAACATTTTGCAAATTAGGTATTATAGTATGGTTTTTCTATTTTACCAAGTATTTCTGAGTTCTTCTTCACTACATTTGGTGTCGCTGCCTATCAGGAGAAGGAAAGAGTGCTGTTCTGAGAACGCCGTTGAGGGTCTGGGGCTGAAGTTTCTGTAGAATCCAAACTACGGTTTTGATGTTGAAGAATAACCGTCCAGGTACGTTAGACACGCGCCCTTGCCCGTAGAAATCAAAACAAGTAATCGGGTAAATAGCGGTTCTATAATTCATCATAAATTTAAATGTAAATCGTTATCTAAACAAATATTACCACCCGGCTATTCAACCGATAATTTTTCAATCAATCAAATCTAAATTACAATAAATAAAGAAGTTGATAGGAGATGAGGGAAAATTACCAGTCACAACAAATGAACGTTATTCTATCCTGACTGGATAGAACACACACAAAAGGAGGAGCAAATCAATATGGCTACCGCCAAGAGCAAGTGTCCAGTAAAACAACACAGATGCAGTTCGGGAAGAAACACAAACTTAGTGAATGCGTAAGAAAAACAAAAACTATAATAAGAAATACAAGTATTAACAATTCAGATGTAATCAAAAGACAACAATGTACAACTAAGGGGATCAACAGGTGCAAGTATATACATGGAGGGATTTTCACCAACACACAAAACATTCAAAATTGATCTTAGTGTCAGTGGAGCAGTCTGGTTCGGAGAGGTGGTGTCTGGTGGAGTGTTCTGGCGCGGCGGTGTTGGCTGTACCGGGTAATGCCGACTGAGAGGGACGGTAAGACGTGTGGCTGCTGGGCGGACATCAGATGTAGATGGCTCGGCAGGCCGGTGGAGCACGAGTGTTAGACGACCCAGGTGCCGAGTGGATGTCGGATGTTGGTGCCCCGGCAGGTCGACGGAGCTATGAATGTCGGCGCGCCGCAGATTCAACATTTTGACTGAGGACGTAGCGCAACTGCAGAGAAGAAGGATGTGGCACGGCGGTCATGAACCACTGCAAGAACGACTGCTTTTAAAGAGGGGACGAGTGTGGTGTGTGCTACTTATACTGACATAAGTAGTTTATGATACCACTCGTAAACAGAAGGTCTGGCAGCACAGAGGCAAGAGGATCGAAAAGTACAGAATGGAAACAGAATGCAATTCGCATGAAAATACAAGAACAATGAAATCTGAGTCATTATGAGACAATTTATGGACATTTTGCAAATTATGTATTTACTATTTGATTGTTAGATTTTATTAACAAGTCCTGTAATTGTGAGTCAAATACATTCGATTGTCCCCACTGGTGTTCTTGCTCACTACATTTGGTGTCGCTGCCAGATCTGCTTGGAGAAATTCGTTAATACTTTGGATGTATACTCAGTGCTATACAGAAATGTTGGAATGATGAACTAAGCAGCAGATTTTCTGTCTACTTATCAAAGCGGGATGAGCTATTCACTATTCGTGATGATATTTGGTGTTCAAATGATCGTGTTGTTATTCTATCTTCATTGCGTAAATCTCTCCTTGTAGATCTGCGGAATTATAATCTACTATTATATTAGTACTGCTCTAATAATAGAGTTAATCCTAAAACTGTAAATTTGTCATGATATACCTACCTAATCTATATAATCTTACGTGGAAGTCACACCATCGTCAACACCAACCAACTGTATCGTAACAATTACCAATACATGATGGGGAACAAGCTTAGTCTAAAGAAAGAACAATATATTTAATATGAATAAAATATATAAGGTAAAATTCCGCAGGGACCACGCCTGCATGGCCGAGCCATACCACCTGATCAACTTGAATTAATAAAACTCATTGTTCCCGCATTTTCCATCGTTAAGTATTTCTCCGCGTTAAACATTGAATATCTATTTTCCGAGTAGTCTCGTGTTCACCTTTGAGGATTGTGTGGTTATGGTCCAATGCCACTACAGATCTTCATAGTGGACACTAAGGTGTTGAGAAAATGAAATCCTTGGTAAGGCTCACCTGTTGGTGGTAGGAAGTAAATGCAGATATATGTAGAAAATGTCATAAATTTAAAATTCAGCTCTTGAAGCGGACTTCATGGAAGTATCATCTGAGGCCTTGAAGAAAATTCATGCAGAATATTGTGGTCCATTTCTTGCCAAATACTATGCTCTTGTAGTCATTTTTCGAAGTGGCCTGAAGTTTTTTTCACAACTTTACTTAATTCTGACTTTACAATCGAAGTATTAAGAAAGGTGTTTACTCCAGAAGTGGTTCCCATGTTGTTGGTGACTGATAATGGCTCTCATTTTGCTGTGGATGCAGTCACTACGTGGTTGCATGGGGTGCAGAAATCTGTTCAATGCGCCGAGACGCCTTTGTTCTAGTGGTCAGGCAGAGAATTTCTTAGGACATTGGGTACTGCTATTTATTCTATTGTTGCTTCAACATTTAATGAAATGAAGAGGGGAGTACATACATTTCTACTGCAATATGGAAATACTAAACATTCTGTAACGGAAGAGACTCCATCAAAGCTATTAAAAGGAAGGATTCTTCTTTCGGATATGAGATGTTTAGGGTCTGCTGAATTTGCATATTATCGTGTGAATGATCTTCGACCAGCCATGGGGATTGCGGTGAAGAAAGTCAGGAAATCTTTGGTCCGAAATTTAGATATCTATGATTTAAATATGCATAACCGACATTTTGATCAAATATAATTCCAGGAACCAGGTGAGTCTGCTCCTATTTCGGCTGTTGATTCTAATACTAATGAGTATGTTCTAGATCATACAGAATCTACATCCAATATACACTCTGACAGACATACAGTGAACGTAAGACATATAATCGAATGCAGAAATTTAGATTCCAACTAGAAATGCGACATTTGCATGAACTAATGATTGTTTTGCACTTGATTTTTGATTGATTCCGAATTCTAAATTTAGTGCGTTCATCTTTTTTCTCCTAGTTCCATTTGAATTGAATCGCACTATTTCGAGAAATCCCAGTTAATACAACAATTCGAATACTTCTAATTGTTATAAGATGTTAATGCCAAGCAATTACTGACTGAAGAGGCCAGATAAGATGAGTTGATTTAATCTCGGAGATACTGCAAAAGCAAAGGGGCAAAGTTGTAAGTAAATATACATGATGACCTTCAAGATGCCACAGAAATTAAGCGTTTGTCAACGCATTTGTATGTAACATCCTTCGAACTGAGGGATACCAACCTCATCAAATTGAAATTTTTGGATGAATGAACTTGAATACATATTTGGAAGGTTGTTGATATGTTGATATTAGTTGTATATAAGCTGGATTGTAGTTGCAAGGGATGAGTAGCTTGGCGTACTCACTCGCGACCTGGCATGTATGCTCGACCAGGCGGTTCCAGCTAGATTGTGTCCAGTAAACCTAATGAGGTCAGTGTCAATGTCGAAGACACAGAACTATTTGCTTTGGTGATTTATTTACCGCTACAACCTTGTCTCGAGTCAGAAAGCAGGCAGTGTATAAAAATTAGTGGATGTGTGGGGTGATATTGTTTCTAGGGCAAAAAAGTGATTGAAAAACAGGGTACATATAGTAGGGATCTTCTCACCTGCACACATAAACACACATGATTACAGATACTGGAGATCTGATAGTTTGTGGTAAAATTTGTATTTTCTATATTCCTTGAGACTTAAGGAGCTGAGAGTTCTGAAGTCGTCTCTTTGTTGGTCAACATATTATATATTTGTGCATATGTGGGACTAATTTTGCTGAAACTTATTTCAGTTTTTCAGTTAGTGGTATTTATACTGTGCATTTTATCTGGTCTGAAAATCCCGAGACAAATTTTCTTGCATTTACTCATGTGAAACAACGGCGAGTGTCATGATATGAAAATAAGTGATATCACAAAACTATTCGAAATACACGCTATGATCTGTTGTGCTTGTTTGTATTTGCTACTTCATAAGTAAAGGGCGCTAGGTTCGACGCAGTCTTCGCAGTTGGTTCGTCTATGGGGGAGTTTTGCTCTAAGCCGGAGAGTGGGAATTCTCAGTCACATCCCGGTGTTCCTGCTGTTGGTACTCAACATGCTAGGTCAAGGGAAAGCAATGTCCCGAGTGCTTCTGCAGCAACAGCTGGCTTTCTATCTAATATGTGTGACACAATATCCCGCTTACAATCCGAAAATCATTTACCCTCGAACGCCCCACCACCAGGTTCGCGGATTGCCCCCAGCCCTGAACAGGGTTATGCCAGTAGTATTAATCGGAATGGAAGGTCTGATAGTTTTCCAAGTGGAGGTCCGGTGCTCACAAGTAAGTTCTTTGTTTATCTTAATTTGCCTGACGAAAAATATATGTATATCTTCTCTGAATGCCAAATATTTAAGTTCCAGTCAGTAAAGATGTCGAATACGGTTGTTACGTGTTAGTGCTTGTCCTGTATGTGTGATATTAGGGGAGTGTATTCTATAGATTTGGCAGAGTAACTGGAGAAATGTAGAACGACTCAACAAACGGTATGCAGACTCGTAACATTGTGCCATACAGCTTGTGTCCTGTCATTGCACGACCTTGATTCATATCTTCAGTGGCAGTACAGATTTATGCAGTTTGTTTGGGCCATTTATTTTAGGACGACTTATCAATGGTTTGGTTAGTTCGGAGTTTTGCTTCATATGTTTCAACACTAGTTGGATGGTAGCTTGCTTTTCATTTGGCTCTAAAACTTGCCTCGACTCGGAGTGACTGAAGATACTTAGTGTTGATAAAACTGACGTCACGACGAAATATACATCATATAATCCTAGGTTCCGTCCTAACCCCTCTAGGTGTCTTATTACATGTTGAGCAAACCGTTTGTGTAGATGGTGATTTGGTCATTTACACTTGTTATCCCAATGTATTGTTCTTGGATTCATCAGTCTAATGATCTGCAGAGTTCAAGCGGTGTGGGACTTCTGGCGATTGTTTCTTACATTATTCAGGAATGATGTACATCTGGCGGAAGTGCAGTGGGTAGTTATGAGATGCCAAAATACGTAATATTGTGACTGTTTACGCATTATTGCTGGTCCTTAACGGTAGCGCTTATTTTAGGATAGTTGGATGACAGCATTTCCATTCCATCAGTTTTAAGCTGTATTATCTGGTCTTACCACTTGTAGGGAAAATGAATCAGCATAAAACAAAATTAGTTTTGAAGGAATAAAAGAAGAGACGAGAGCTCATTATTAAAAACAGTTTGTATATAAACAACAAGTAGATTTCGCTTACTGCGTAACCTTGTCTTCCTGTTTAGGAGTGATTAAATGCTTCAACACGATAACCTTCAGCTTCTGTGTCAAATTACATTGGGTATCAGCGTTTATGCAGCCACCTGTGCGGATGAGCTCGATTATGTTTAGAAGGCCAACTACCGAGAGTAAATGCAGATACATGTTCCTGTTAGCCCTGTTGAAGTTATTTAACCTGGTGTTTACAAAGGATTGATTTCAGTAGCGTGTAAGCCAAGCATAACAAGACATCTTTGGGTAAATGATTTACACTGCTATGCACTTCTGGGTCACTCGCATGATGTGATGGGTGGGCCTTCAGAGAGGTATGAGTGATCAACTATGCACAGCCTCACTGCTAGTTTCGTAAATAACGACTAAATGCGTTCAGATATTTCCTGTACAAAGTGCGTATATATCAAGTATTTTCGATATATTAATCAACTCAACATTTTGGAAAACAATCCTGACCAACTATATCAAAACTGACCTGATGTTAAGTATCGACATTGTGAACTGTAGTGGTGTGCCTATACCCTCTTTAAACAAAATCATCTGTAGACATTTCGCAAAATCTGTGCAATATGACGAAGTCGATGTTTGGGGTGTCGGAATATATGCATGCGATAATCACATGCAGTATGTATGCTTTTTTGAAGATTAACTTAATCATTAATACAAGGTGGCACCAAATATATACACACCCCCCTCCGTCATTCAATATGTGACAGCTGGAATACTGCTCGGGCGTCCAGACCGAAACAAGTGGTTTTCTCAGGCCACTCTTCGAGCTTTCGATCTAGAGGTCTAACCCACAAGGCAGTGGAGCAACGTTCAAAGATGCAGTCCCTCGGTAGCCAATGACCAACAATAGGCTCATACATCATTTGTCCCCTTAGAATTCTGGAGCCCATGCGCACCATTGGTTTGGAATGGAGGTTTTCCAATCCTCTAGGTGGATCCTCCATATCTATCAACGCGGTTAGAACGCCGGACATTCGCTTTTCGTCCTCTCGACTTCGTAAACAACACCCTCAGGTTCGGTCTGGGCACCCGGGCAGTATAACAGACCTCACACAAACCGATAATAGCTGCTACTGGCCTCATTGTTATTGTGTGGTGCATATACATTTGGTGCCCCCTTGTAACAACGTTTATGTGTTCAAATAAAGTAAATAACCCCCTCCGCGAGAAGGCAGTGAATAGGACTTGCCTGGAGATGGCTGTATACGCGTGGTAATGTAGGAGGATTTCGGAAAGAAGAGCGGACTCAATCTTGGCTGTACCAGGGCATCTTGAGGTTTTTTAAAGATGGGTTTGTAAAACCAGTTTATTTCAGACTGGTGTGTCACTTTAGACAACCCGACTAGTGTCCTGGGAGGTGTGCCACAAACCTCCAAAGGAAGCTCTGAATTGTTCTTTTCGTATCATCAATTTGATAGATTGTTTCACCTATACCTGGCTGTGGTTCGGGTGAAGTGGGAAAGCTACTGATATTCACTAGGCGAGGATGTTACGCCTGTATCGACGTCGTGTTCTAACCACTGGCTTTTAAAGTTCCTAAGTTTTCACTGAAAGTTTCTATAAAAAGGGCTTATATATTGTTATACTGTTAGTTTGCCAGGATACACTATCACATGTTAGGTGTAAAGAAAGTTCAGAAATCTAGTAGCTACAAATTGCTAGTTCTGCTGAATGTTTCATCTTACCCAGGTCACCAACTGCTTGTCAAAAATCTCGCTTATTGTGTTGCTCATCATCGATTCCTTACTTAAATCTTATTCAAAAATTTCAATTTGTCCTCAAGGGCTTCTGGATATGTGCTGAATGTAAATGAGGTGTTTTAACGTTTAGTTCTGTCTGTAATTCATTTAACTAGTACAAGTACAGTTCCATCCATTTTCTGACATCCCAATGTACAGTAATAGCTTAAATAAATGGAAAGTTTGTGTAGTCAGAGGTGAACGTTTTCGATGCGATTTTCACCATGATGGAAATCGGTTGTTAGAAATCCTATGACATTGAAGCATTTCGAAATAACACATTTAATCACTCTTGACCTTTAAATCCTTGACGTGCTGTTTCCTATCCATTTCTTTCTCGCTTATTTCGCTACAGTTCTACCCTTAATCTCTTACAATTGAAGAGTGTAGTAAGTTTAACCATTAGGCTTGTAAAATTGTCTCGATCTATATGTGTCTTTAGTGATTGTGTGATTTCTTGAAATAAGTATCCAAGGTTATCAATCGAATCTTGTTTATATCTTTGAACTTTGTATTACATCAGCTGGGCCTCATTCAGGGTTGTTAACTCCGGAAGATATGCTTGCTGCAGCACAGATTTGTAGCCATCTAAGTCAGTCACAACTCAACGCTCTGGCGGCTGCTTACCATCAACAACAGCAACAGATTCAACGTTCCGTTGGTCCAACTGCTTCAGGAACTTCAACACTTGGTCACGTCCCAGGAATTACATTTGCACAGGCTCTAGCGGCTGTTACATCTGTATCGAAGTCATCATCTCCTACTATTCCTCTCAGTGTTCACAGCTCTCAACAGTCACCTCGATTGCCGGTCCATTCAGTTCAAACACCTATGCATCAAGGGAACCAAAAACGCCCCCCTAGTGGTCAGTCACAGTTTCACTCAGGACATCCTATTCAAATGGGTTCAACTACATCTGGTAGTAAGTGTTGCCAATAATAGCTATTATGCTTTTCATCTGTTATGATAAGATGTTACTCTTTTTTTCTAGAGCTATTCTTAACTTACGCATATGTATTTTGACCAAGTACTTTACTGGCTTCTGTGTGGTTCATGTGAATCTTGTTACTGGTGTTTTTATCCCAACAATGTTATAAGCTTCATGAACCGTGCAAGCTACGTTTTAGGAGCTGGTGTCTATAGAAAAAAACCTATCATGGCTATTGTAATTTCATCACATCACTTTCGATGCCATTGACAACGTTACAAGTTGCTCATATAGTCTCTGATAAATTTGTGTATATACTACCGAGCAAGGTAATTAGGATTCATTTTCAGTATACTGAGCACTCAGTCATACCAATACACACTTGTTTACACAGAGATTTCTAAATCATTTAGAACATATATTCTACCTCACTAAGGTTACATGTAAGTTTAAGAGTTGAAAAAAAAATTTAGACAAAAAGATCATTGTTTGTGAGTAAAGCTGGTTCGAAGTACTTTGCCGGTTTTCGGATTCGGTGGCTACGGGCGCTTGACAGCTTCCGTAGTTACTGAGTCACAGTGCATCCTTTTTACTTAGTCTTCGTCTATTTAGATCTTATATAACCATTTATCCAGAATTTCAAACTGATATGCTCGATTATGAATTCCCACACTGAAAGATCTATTTATTGTCCCTAGTTTCTGATTCTATGAGTAATTCTATGTTCTGGTACGATCATCACAGTTTGAATAAACTGGCATGATTTAAAGTTTTGTCGTGGTGTGTTATGTGTGCCTGGTTCTACATCGTAGATGACTGACTGACTGCTATGTAGTTTTGTTTGTAGTCAGTTACGGTTAAATTCAACTGACTGCATAAAGGTTAATTTTTATTTTAGCTCGTCCAGCTTCAGCGTCTCAGGCTGTCCTCCATCATCGCGGAAGTCATCCAGGTCCTTCAGGATTCGGGACAATGAGTTCTCACGTCAGTCCATCACAGCCAATTACCTCACATCTGGATCATAATTTGCACAATGCACATCATCAGACAAGGGCTTCACCATCACTATCACCCAGTCCTGGAAGCAATATTTACCAAGTTAGTGTTTTTTTTTCGTAGGTATCACCAAGGCAATAATTGAAATATTCTTTACTGATCCTTTATTAACTGTAAGGTGTAACAATTAAAAATAGAATGTATATATTTTTGTAAATATCTTTCAAAATTCCCTTCTAGTCAACAAGTAAAGTTAACCTAAATTGTAGAATTAGCGAAACATTTACGTCGCCGGATATAATGATTTTGACGCTAAAATTGTTGCTTCACAGTAGTCCAGATACTAATAAATTTGTCTATAATCTTATCAGGAGTTATCTGATATATTCTGACATATAGCCTTTATCATATCATTGTCAAGTGTTGTTTGCTCGATATCCAAAATTGTAACGAGATTAACTTTAACAACAAAAGTTAGTTAAAAGTGGCATCAACTGTTTTTCTCTCTCTTTCTGCTACACTCAAAACCTATCTTAATCAGACATACTTATTGTTTTCAGTGTGTTCAGTCAATCATAAGCAGTTTACGAATTGGCATAAATGTGCATAGCCCTCACTTACTGCACTACATCAGTGCACACACAGGAAGGAAAGATTTGTAGCAGAGCAGTCATTATGGTAGTGGTCTCGTTTATAACAAGAAGCAGCACATAGAAAGAGTAACATTGAGGGAGTAAAAGGCATGAAAACTCAGGGTTTCGAGGAGAATAAAGGATGTGTACATCTGAACCATTGCGATATTTTGAACCTTATCACCCCACATCCAATCATTTTTGATTACATCTTAGTTAAGTTGGTACAAAACTTCAAGTTGTTGCGTTAGTTACGTGTCGAAAAGACATATTCATTCCCTTTTCAGTGGATCAGGTGTTCAGCTACATTTTGTACTGTTATTTACATACAACAACCTTCATATCTTTCCAATTGCTGATTTATACTTTAGACCTATGTAAATGCTATATGTGGTATATACAGGATTTTTTTTCTGCTACTTGAACAGCTGACACATAGTTCTATGTCTGATTGTCGTCTTACCTTGTATTTCAATGACGTTCTAACTACTAATTGTTAGGCTACTCAGTTATCGTCTTTTTATACGCTTCAAACATTTTCAGAATCGTCGTTCACAACTGGCCCCCCCTTCAACTCATCCAAACAAAAGACCTCGTATTTCCTTAGGATCCCAACTACCACACTCCATTTCATCCTTACCTTCTGCTCATGTAACAAATACAATTGCACCAGCTGAGATGGAAGCTTTGTTGGGGAGTGTTGTTGCTAGTAAGGCGATGGCAAGTATTGCAGCTGGTTCTAACTTTCTTAATCCAAACGCCTATTCTGCAGCCACAGAAGTTGCCGCTGCAGCCGCAGCAGCCCTCACACCTTTTTATACATCCATTAATAATAGCAGCTTATCGAATCCATCATCTGTCGTCACTCCAAATCAAGCTGCTTATCAACCGCATATTCAACATCATGGTTCATTCGGTAGTAATTCAACTTCTGGCACTCATTTATTCAACCAACAACATGTTTTGCCATCTTCCAGTTCGGCGTATCCAGGTTCACTGATGGGTACCTTACCTGGTTCACTTCTAACCTCGTACAATAACAGACCATTTCCTCATGCAACTGCGTCTACCCAGGCGATAACTTCCGGGCAAGCCCTAGTTAGTGCACCTGTCTTGGGATCACAAACTGTAACTAGTCAGCCTCCATTGTCACATATGCCAGCGAAAGCATCACATCCAACATCAGTCTCCCAAATCCCTTCTCGCCTGATTTCTGGCCATCTTCATCATCCACCTGCTGCTACTCATCCTAGTCAAGGCAGTTTCCACCAGTCAAGTCATCCTTTACCACAACCAGGTTCTCAACATCATGTGATGGGGCATTCTAATCTTCCTCAGGGGAGTGGTGTACTTCGACAGCAGACTAAAGAACCGGCTTATCACCCACAGGTACGTGTTTGTTTCCTGATATTTTAAAATTAGATTTCGCCAGCTTTTTGTACGACTGCTACTTCAGTGAATTTTTATTTAACCCAAATTCGTAATATTGTTTCAAAGCTTTTTATATCGGGAATATTGACGTTTCTTAGGTTCATGTGAAGATTTTTTATTCCTATGTACTTGAGCTCAGTCAGTCGGTAAAAACGTAGAACTTCGTACGTACGTACATCAGTTCGAGTTGCCATACCACATTAGCACACAGATACAATTGTCAATTCAAATCCCGTACTGATAGAGGTAGTAAAAGTATAAACAGTAATCAGAAAGATTAGGGTTTGAAGATGTTATTCAAAAAATATAATCCAGTGAAATACATTTGGAAAGCGGGAAAAAGGGACATGAAGAATTCACAAGATTAGAATTTGGGAGAACACAAAGAGTGGATGCACCTGCGCCATTGTAAACGATTTTGAGTCGTGTCATTCAGGGTCTCTAACCATCGGTTGCTATTACTTATTTATTTTAACACATAGATATTGGTACAAGGAGGCACCAAATACATATGCGCCACACAAATCTCATTTGATATGTGTGAGAGCTGTGATACTGCCCGGGTGCCCAGACCGAAGCAGGTGGTTTTCTTAGGGGGCCACACCCGGAGCCTTCAACCTGAAGGTCTAACCCACAAGGCAGTGGAGCATCGTGAGGAGATGCAGTCCCATGGTACTCGATGACCAACGATTGGTTCATACGCCATTTGTCCGGTCAGGATACTGGAGCCCATGTGCACCATTGATTTGGAATCCGGTTAAAGCGCTGGACATTCACTTTTCATTCTCTCAATTTCGTAAACAACAACCTCGCCACGAGAAGGCAATGAGAAGAACTTCCCTGGCAGAGGCTATATACGCGTGGCCATGTGAGAGCATCTCGAGAGGGAGAGAGGACCCTACTCACTCTCGGCTCTAGCAGGGAATTTGGGGGCCGGTTGCTATCATCTCGCGGTCCCCAACCAGGTAGTCTACACCTACCAACATGGCTCAGTCCACTTGTCAGTGACTTCATGGATTTGTGCCATGTTTTGCTCTGGCTGCCCCTAGCTTTCTTCCAACCTACTCCTACACCATAAAACATCGCACGTCGGGGCAGGTGGTGGTTGGGCATACGTAACACTTGTCCCAGCCATCTCAACTGATGAAGTCTCGCTACTTCATCAACTGATTAGCCATCCTTACTTAGTACCCGTTTCCTAACAATTGCGTTAATTACTCGATGGTCCCAGGATATACGAGCAATGTTTTGAAGACATCTATGATCAAATACTAGTAACCTACGAATATCCCCTACTCTTACCGGCCATGTTTCACTGCCATAAAGTAGGACGAAGTGAACTGCTGCGCAGTAAACCCGTCCTTTGGTTGATAGACGGATATCTCGCCTACTCCATAAATGACGCAAGTTTGCAAAAGCTAGTCGAACCTTCTGTATCCGTGCTGAGATTTCGTCACAGACCAGACCACAAGTTCTACGTTGTTACTGACTGACTGACAAGGGCTGATGAGACTTCCCAGATAAGTTAAGCGATCGACACGCTCAACTACTTCACTCCCTATCATTAGTTCGGGTGCCGATGCAACCCAATCCTGAAGCAACATTTTGCATTTCGAGGGGGAGAATCGCATCCCGAACATGCTTGCATTGTTGCTTAGAGTGGTCAGAAGACTTTACATTTTGTCAGCGTCTTCACCAAATAGGACAATGTCATCGGCATATTCTAAGTCAATAAGTAAATCTCCTGGTAAAAGTTCAACTCCTAGAAGTTTAGATGAGGAAAGTATCATCTTTAAAAGCACGTCAACGACAAAGTTAAACAAGAATGTAGAGAGTGGATAGCCCTGACGAACACCACTTGAGGTAATCAATTCTGATGACAGTTCGCCATAAGCTCTCACTCTACCAGTTGTGTTCGAGTAGAGAGCCTTTATAAGGTTAATGTACTTCTTTGGTACTCCTTTCAGTGACAAACAATGCCATAGAACCTCACGATCAACAGAGTCGAATGCCGCCTTCAGGTTGAGAAATGCTACTATTGTGGGGCGTCTGGATGTGTTTCTATGTTCTAGGACCTGACGTAGTGTGAATATCCGATCTATACAACCACGTCCAGGTCGAAAACCAGCCTGGTTTTCTCTAGTCTGCTCTTCACGAGCTTTAGTTAGGTGTCGAAGTATTATTGAAGATAATATTTTAGACACTATATTTGTCAAACTGATTCCTCTGTGATTGTTACAAGAGGACTTTTGTCCTTTCTTAAAAACTGGCACAATCAGTGATTGGGATCAGTCAGATGGGATTATGTCCAGTTCCCAAATTCTACCTAAGACCTCAGTTAATCTCACTGCTAATACTGGACCACCATCGTTAAAAATCTCGGGAGTAAAGCTGTCAGGGTCTGCTGCTATCCCTCGCTTCAGATTTCCTATAGCTTATCTGAGCATAGCTGCAACAGACAGTCGTCATTATCTGTTCTTTGAGCCGTGAAACTATAAGATCCACCCAAGTGTCTTTCCCTTTCGCTTAGTTTACCTACTTTAGCATTAAAGTCACCAGCCACTATTACTACTTCAGAGCGCCTAGCTTTTCGGAGAAGTTCGGAAAGCTTTCTGTAAAACTCATCTTTTACATCATCTGAGCTGCAGTCAATAGGAGAGTAGGCAGAGACGACGAAAAGGCAATGACGAGTGTCCTTATCTTTCCAAGTCCTTACTGTTCCGTTTAGTCGGACAGCGCACAAACGACTGTCTACTGAGATCCACTCTAAGAGAGCTAGTTCTGCCCTAGGACTCAATGCTATACCTACGCCAGCGAGGCCAAGGAAAGCAGCATCAGGGCTTCCAGATACACGAAGCGTGAATCGAGTTGGTTCTTTATTTTGACATGGTGATTCCAAATGAATGACACTACTTGGATCCTGTATGCGCGTTTCGGAGACGCAGCACATATCGATGGCGCGAGACTAGCTAAGGAAGCCTGCTGTTCTATTTGGCACAGTGTTCGGACGTTAAAAACTCCTACATGTAGTTTGGAGCGTGGTTTCAGGAGACCAGGAATAACGTTCCGCGTACTCAAATCGTTTGCCTTAGCGGTACGAAGTGATAAAGGGACGTGAGAAGGGTTATTCGTGGAGATAAGAGAGTTATTAAGAGATGTAGGAAGGATTTGAATGTGACCAACTTGGTCTCGTGTGCTGTTACGGGTATGTGGGCTGATATCGCTTCCCGGCTGCCCACACCGTGGAAGGGTATTTTTTGAGGAACCTGAAAAGGAAGTTGTATTAATGTTGTCCTTAACGACCTGGGAGCGTGACCGCAGAGCCCAAGGGACAACTGCTTGAGGCCGGTCGCGCACGGTCCTCTTGTGGGAGGTTTTTAATGTGTTAGCTCCGTTCTTCAAAGGACCTTATCGCCGGAGACAGAAATCCGTGAGGTAAGGTGAGGTGTGACATTTTGGGGATCAACCTTTTGTAACCCCTTCCTTGTGAGAAGGCAGCATCGCTGCGGTTGCTGGTTGTTCGAGGGAAACACCTTATTGTTGTCACACCCTCTCTACAGTCAGCAGTACGACTTCGCCCTCAGACCTCGAGTTGCTGCTTTTAGTCTTACCGTTCTCCAGTCGACCTGCCTGGCATGGTAGAACCTTCAGGAACATATGTTCTAACCAATATAGCTCGGTCGGGTCATCACGATAGGCAAGCCCGACCACCGCGTCAAGGTAGCAGCTACCGTCGGGCACTTGACCTCACACGTAGCTAACCTTATGCGTACACTATAATTTGATAAAACCGACTGGAAATTTACCAAACTGTCGACAACGAGCTTTACAGTTTGAAACCGAATTCTCAACTTACGCCTGATGTAGGAGCATAAACCACCCACCAACAATCTCCGTTCAACTCTATCCTTTCCAGTTGCTATTGATCCTTTTTATATTTGCCTCCAATTTTCGGCCCAGTGTGTTCCTTGGCCATCCTTTTTTCCGTTTTCCTTCGGGATTCCAAGTTAGCGATTACCTCATGAAGCAGTTTGGTGACTTCCCCAATGTATGTCCTATCCACTTCCAACATCTTTTCCTAATTTCCTCTTCATTTGAAAGCTGGTTTGTTCTCTGCCACAGTAGGCTGTTGTTGACGATATCCGACCAACAAAGAACTTTGAGTATCTTGCATAGACAATTGTTTATATACATTTGTATGTTTTTGATTATGGTTGTGGTAGTTCTCAAAGTTTAGGCTATGTACAACAGAGCTGCCTTGACGTTCGTGTTGAGGATTCTGACTTTGATGTTGGTTTGCAGACAGTTGTTCCATATGTTCTTCAACTGTAAGAATGGTGCCTTTAATTTACCAATCCTTAACTTTACGTCTGCGTCCGATCCTCCTTGTTCATGGAAGATGCCGCTACCCAGGTAAATGGGTTTCCACCTCTTCCAGAGTTTCTCCATGAAGTGTGGTTGGGTTGGTGTTCTCCGTGTCGTATCTGATGAACTTGGTTTTTTCTCTTGTGTATGTTGAGGCCTACTGATGCAACGTCTTCTGCTACACTAGTTGTTTTGACCTTCATTTGCTGGTGTGTATGAAATAGAAGACCTATGTCATCTGCAGAGTCCAAATCATCTAGTTGCATCCAATCTGTCCATTGTATTCCGTAATTCAGTCAACCACTAGAAGAGAGAAATAGTGAGAGTGAGCACTTCTGTCTGACTCCGGTACTCATTTGGAATGCATCTATAAACTGCTCTCAATGCACGACTTTGCAGTTTAGTTCGTCGTATGAATTGCGGATGATGTTGGCGATCTTCTCATCTACTCACCCCCCATGTTAGGAGGATCAATCTCATGACTTCCGAAGAGTATCGGCCTTCACTATGAGGCGTCGTAATTCTTTTGAATGAATATCCTTCGAACCGGAGGACAGAGTTTAAATAGTTTGACTTGTTTATTCTGGTTAGCGTTGTTTATCAAGGTTGCTTTCTATAGGATGCGTTTGCTGACCCCATACCCAACCCTCCTCCTTTACCTGGGCTTGGGACCATCGGTGACCCTAAAAGAACTATAGGAAGAGTTAAAATTCGCCAATTGTGATATAATTCAAGTAATATGACGTGGAGAAATCTTAAGAATTTGATTCATCTGCGTGCGCATTTATTTTCTCTTGGATCTTCATTGCATTTTTCCTGTACCCCTCTGAGGTACTATTAAATTTATGAAGGTGTTATAATATATGTTATTTGTTAAATCACTGCTAGATACATCAATTCAGATTGACTGTGGATATAAAGTGAAATTTGCTTCACTTAATTCTCATTTCCAGGTGATTATTTTACTATGGTTAAATTGATCATCACAGTTGTCGGTAACGTTAAAAATTAAATTAGTGTTTACCACAATCCCAAGTAATATGAGTGTTCGTTGTTGATTTAAAAACACGTTTTCCAAGGTTGTAAAATTTTGCTACCAGTCATGAAACTATCAGTCAGCGACAGCGGTGGACCATGTACATATATTTATCGGTCCAAGTTGCCACAACTCATTAGCACAGGATGAACACCAAATTCATAGAATTAGTTAGTAGTAATATGTAAAGAAAGATTGCATATAAGGATATGATACAGGGAGAAAGAACTAGTTCGTATAAAGAAAGGTATAAAGTAAGTTTAATCTCACGGTTTAAGGGAGGACAAATAGTGTATACACGTACGCTATTGTGATCGATTCTGAGCCATTTCACCTAGAGTCTCCAACCATTGCACCTACCAACATGGCTCGGGCCAGAAAAAAGTGACTTCAAGGACTGATGCCACGTTTTGGTTCGACCACCCCTAACTTTCTTCGTATGCCGATTTAGTAAATGAATAATCTCAGCTTCTTACCTCATAATAATATGGCTTTCTTACTTTAAGCTTATTAGAACACATACTTATGTAGCTAATTCCAGTTTCTATAACTATCTGTGAATTTCAGCACGGATGTTATAGTAGTTTCCATTCTTTACCAACAAGCTCCTTATTAAGTCGCCTATAGGTACTAATCAGTAAACAATTGGTTGTTCTTTTCATTTTTTCTGTAGATATTGCAAATCTGTTTATGAATATTTTTTTAGGTTGAAGCCATATCCCCTGCTCCTGATGAGTCTCGTCTAGTGGATGCCCAAGATGCAAAGCTTCATCGTGAAAGGGAAGAAATTAACCGTCAACTGACAGTATTAGATGCTGATATTAATAAACAAGAATCACATCTAAGAAATCTGTGTGAACGGGAGGCTCGTCTAACAGCTCGACTTGCGGTAGCACCTGCACGCGATACATCGAACAATAATTTGAACGGTAACGATTATGAAAGTAAATCAGATAAAGGGGATCTTGCTGTTCCGGAAGTATCTTTCACTTGTAAAACCGGTTTCGAACGAAATTACGAAAACCCAATACAGGTAATAATTTTGTAACTTTATGTAAATTGTATTACCGAGCATTTCGTGCTAAAAACAAATGTAAGGTCTATAAGCTGAAGTACGAGAGTTACTTATTATCAACCATTAATAAGTAAACTTTGTGTTCCATTACTTATGGTGAAGTTAAAACAAAATTCTAGGTCACTAGGTTCAGTTTTAAAAGTGATTATACGTGTCTGTTGCCATGCTAATTCGGAGGATGGATCAGTTATTGTTCGCTCTTATAGTCTCATATGGCAGTAAAACTAGCTGGTGTTTTATTTACAGATGCAAACTATTTTCGTTGCCTTCGAATTATATTTCTTAATTTCGTGCTCTTTTGATTTCAGGCAATTATTTCTGACAACCGCCAACGCACTCGTCAGCGTCATCTCATTTTCACAAGACTTTGTGGTCCCAAAGTTCGACCTGGACCACATGCCCTGCCATTTTATCGCCAACCATCCGACTTATCAAGTGTAAGGGCTATACAATCCAACTTTCGCAACCATTTCCGTCCAAAACTTGTTGTTTATCTTCAAAGACGTCTCCGTGCTGAACAAAGTCGTATCAGTTTTTTGGCTCAACAATACGGACGAAATTCTAGAGTATGTTCATACATCCTATGAGCGTCGTATAATCGATTTTATAAGCGGGTATTCAGTAGTATAGCGTTTCTAATAAAATAATATTACGACTAAGTATCAACATAACCCTAGTAGAATTGAGATATCACTGTGGATTAAATATGCTTATATTTTGTCACAGAGTTGAATTATTTGTATTTCTGTATCGTATGCTGATCAGTCGGCATGGTGAATCCTTTGTACCGTTTCTGTTTGGACACATATATTTATTGTTTCATAATAAATTGTGTCGTACGGAATAATTTTATTCTAACGTGATTGTAATTAATGTTGTAAGTTGAATTTTCCAAATCATTTAAAGTGATTGTTACATCCCGCTTACTATACATCGTATACACCTTGATCATTCCTGTTCGTACCTGGTAAATATGATTTTTAAGATATATGTAGAATTAACGATGGGCAGTACTTAACCTTGTGTTTTAATTATTCATATAATGTGCTTATTTATTTACAGATGTTTACGAAAAAGATGGACAAATTACTCAGTACGACCAAACGTCGTCAACGTGATCTTCGTCATCGAGATATTTTTGAGAAAGCGATGCCGGAAGTTAAAAAAAATCGCGAAGACAGGGAGATGGGAAACACGGAATACACTAAACCAGGGATCGAGGATGGTATGTTTATTTTTGTTAAATTAGTTTGTGCTTGTTTTATATCATATCACACAAAATCTTATGATAAGGTTTTTTATTATTGACTTGAACTTATGTATTTTTAACCTTGTTAGGTGAGCATTATTGTGATGAGTCTTATTATTAACCCATTATCATGTATCTATTGTTGTACTTGGCTTCGGTTCACTCTTCAGTTGTGAGAACTAGTGATAGCTCTCGGTTGCCCAAACTGAATTAGATAAAGTGGGATTTAAACCTACGACTTAGTAGCTGAAATTTGGGCTCCTTAACCACTAAATCACTACTTCTCTTATGGCGTGGTTTAAAGCCGTGAGTACAAATCTACCCTTGCTGAAATATAAGTTTACTCATTTTCAAAATGAGGTATAAATAAACAAACAAAAGGTCAGATCATGACGAAAATTCAAGTATCCAACTGCTTAACGCCACTTTTTCATCTTAGTAATACCAATAGTTAGGATGGAGACTTGTTTATTTCTGATTGTGCTCCTGTTTTTTGAGGAACTGTTTGTGCTTTCAATAACCACCAAGTCGGTATTAAAATTATCAAGATAATTCAGAATAGTTTTTCCGATTAGAAAGCGTTTCGTATAACTTTTAATTCCTCTGTCCTCAATTAGAGGAATGGTCTGGTTATCCATTCAACTTGGTCCATGTTTTCAAACAACCACATTTAGTTCTATTCTGTTTTCAGACCATTAATGCACATAAATGCATACAAATTTCAACTCTACTTCTCATCTAGTATACTCACAAGTATACACGGTGATCTCACACAAAATCACCTAGACCAAGAAATATATGACATTGACGTAATCAGACCTATTTAGATTTTGAGTTAACTAAAGATTTTGCCTGTTCCACCATACTGTTCAAACTCGTGTTCGTTTAGTTATTTATTATGAAGAAGTGTCTCACACGAAACGTCAGAAATTCTAGCTTCTCTCAAAAAATATTTTATTACTAAGACTCTACCGAACGCTCAATTTATTTGAAATTATGAAGTCCGACCTTTGTAATGATTCGTTTCTGAATAATTCTTCCTTCAAACGGGTTCTGTATTCATTCACTAAATAAACTTTTCTGTGTCTTTCTATTTGCTTTGTTTGCCGAAAAGATTCTGGCGGGGTTTCTAACCTAACTGATGGTTCTCAGACTACTCCCTACGATGCTATCGAAGAGATGAATAAATTAAAGGTGATTTCTGAATAAACGGTTTCTCTTTTTTCCTATAAATAATCTTCAAACTATAGTCTTTAGAGTAATTTATTTTTATTTGTTAAGGTCACTAAGATTACGTCGTTAAGGATATTCAGAAGTTAATACTATAGTTTATTTTATAGCCAGAATCTCATTCCTTAACTATTATCGATGTAAATCTGTCAAAACTACTAAGTGTGAAATTTCCACTCCACTGGTCACTTTGTACATAGACTGTAATGCTGATGATACTTTTGTCTTAGCACGATGCATATGTCCAAATAGGTGAATTTAAGGTATTTGATTAGATAATTATTTACAATTTCCCTTTGATTCTGGTAATACAAGTTTCGTCATCGTCTGATATGGCAAAATAATCTGACATTTCTTGGTCCATAATAAACAGTTTGTCCTAAAGTGAATGTGGCTAAAAACATTTGATAACTGGGTTACCTTGTCTGTTTGTAAGTTGAAGTGCAGTCGCTAGTTATTTGTTCAATACCCGATAAATCACTTATATTTACTCTAAAATAGTCGAATATATCTGTTGGCGGGAAATAGATTGAGTTAAAGCATTTTCCGTGCAGGATGGTGTTGGGATACGCTGATTGGTCATTTAGCTAACCCCTCCCGAGTGGATACTTGAGGAAGACTCTTGAATATTGTGTAAAATTATAAATTTACTAACGTTTTTTTATTGTGATTCCTACTTATATCCAACCTTGTTTATTTAAAATATCATTACGTTCCTGTTCAACCGTGTTCTGATTTGGGGACTTATCGAGAAAGTACAGTGTCCAAGAATACTAAGCAATAAGAGTGGCTAGGTCGTAATAAAAGAGAACATAACAATATCTTACACACATGATATTTTTATGTGACTTCGATTATTTAGTTTAATGTTAGCAACGTATGATTTGGAAGAGATATCCATGTGCTTAAATTTCCACGCTGGATCATTACACTGACCTAAAATAGAGTAAGTGAATGGTAAAGGAGTTGGAATGAAAGTAGTATCAGTCAACAGTAAGACTAAATATATGGTGAATATGGTTCGAATAAAATGTAAGAACTAATAGTGAAACACAAAATATAGAGTGAAAGAAAAGAAATGAACGCGTTTGCGCCACTGAAACATTTTGAGCCACTTTAGAAAAAATAACTAATGTTTTATCCCTTTAAAATCTGTACATAACGAATAGTCAAGGATTAGCACCAACTGATTTTTTCAGCTGCAGTCGTAAAACATGAGTATATTAAGTTGATAACATTCCTCTTGAGTCTATCGTGTTGTGGCCATCTTTAAATTTCTTCATGTTGCATCATAATCAAACTGTAGTTAACAGTTGAGCAAACACTCCAACCTGGCTTTTATGATCAAAATAACGATTGTTGGTAAAATCACACAGCATAACTTAACTATATAGTCTTTTCCATGTTTTTCTTTATAGGATATGTATTTTCATAGCTAGATTAATGTGTTATATTATTTTTTACACATTCCTACAATAATCATTACGTTCAAGATTTCCTCGAAATTGTATGTCGTAATAATTTTGTGTATCTAGGAATATGCGATTGATCCTCCAGTTATGCTTGCACCTTGGCAGCGTCGATATCAATTCATATGTGAATCAGGTTTAGTCACAGATTGTCGTGCACAGCTCCAAGAAAATCAAGATCTGTCGAAGTGGTCGGAAGAAGAAAAGCAAATATTTAAAGAACGCTATTTAGCCACTCCTAAAAATTTTACTTCGATAGCTTCATACCTAGAGCGGAAATCTGTTGCAGACTGTATCCACTATTACTATTTATCCAAAAAGAAAGAAGGTTATAAACAGCTGTTGAAGAAGCATAATGCTCGTCGACGCCGAGCAGCTCAGACTGAACGTGGAGGGGGCGGTAGTGCTGGTGGAGCTGCTAGCAATTCAAATACTGGCGGGAGTAGCGGAAGCCATAGTAATACTAATATAAATTCGATCCCTCCATCTTCTAGTAATTGCCAAAATGGGCATACGAATATAAATTCCCCTCGTGGAGAGCGTAATGAAGCAGATGAAAAAGATTCAGGTGGATTAAAAAATTCACAAACTGATTCTTCTGGGTTTCCTGAATCTAATGAAACAGCTGAGCATAAGGTAAAATTACTCACATCATATTCTTCAATTTGCCTTACATTGTAAGTAACTGTTAAACGAGCGTTAATACTTTATTAATATCTACATTCAGTTTGGCTTCAAAAATCGACTTCCGAATTTAGGATGTTGAATTTAAACTTCATTTGGGCTACATCAAGATAGATAACTACGGAGTATGAATAAGCAGTATATGGTTCCTTTTGTTAGACTACTGTTGTGTTTTGAACATCTGAAAATGTCTCACTATTTTTGGTCTCGGTTCCTAAATCTGGGATATTTGGATTTCTTTTTACCCTGTAAGCCATATCGTAAATTGATATGAACCACTTGGTGATAACGCAAAGATTTATTTAGAACTTGAACTACCCAAAGAAAGAATGCTATTTATTCTTTTACTTTCAATGAATTATTTGTTTTTATTAGAATTTTCTTGATAATAATCGTGGACTGATCACTTATTTGTCTTACGTTTGTTTCTGTAACTAATTGTCTTCGTGAGTTTTGGCGTTACAATTATATCAAGATCTGTTTACCAAATCGAATTTCCCGTGTTTAGCTTGTACTATTTGCTTCAGGACAATGTCTTATATCTAACTTAGATTGATGAAGAATCTTTTGGTAGCACCAGGCAACAATATCAGGATGTTTAGATTGGGTTTCTTCCTCTATAAATGAGAATTATTGCTTCGGGACTGGCCTGCGTCAACGCCTGAACTAGGTTTAGGAAATGAAGTAATCGAACGCATCGACAGCTTAGCTTATCTAGAAAGTCTGATCAGCACTAGTGGTTTGGTGTCTGTTATAACGTGAAAAATATATGCTGCTGATTAAGGGATAGCGGATTATTGATCGGACCAAAGACGCACAAACACGTAGAACGACCTAGGGTTCTGATTGGTCTCGCTTCCCTGTCTAACCCAGCCAGTTGAGTCCAGAACGAAAGTCACAGCCTCGGATATATGAATCATTATATTTCAAACATGCTTTGTTTATATACCATTCAAGCAGTCCACAACGTACCATAAAATAGAAGATAATATTGTACAACAATGGCCAACAGGAAAATAACACGTTAAATAAATATCGACCAATGGGAAATGTACATTTAAGGTCCAAGGACACCATTGGACTTAACATGATAATTATTGGTCTATTTTTCCGACTACCTAACAGTGTCTGACGAAATCTCTGTACAAATTCGAAAGGCTCGTTTGCCTTTTACCTACTTACGTCACTTTTGGCCTAGGCGAGATATCCGTCTATCAATTAAGGGATGCGTATATTGGGCTGTAGTTCGTTCTTTTTTACTTTACGACTGCGAAACGTGGTCATTAAGAGTAGATTATTCTCGTATGTTACTAGTATTTGATCATAGATAGTGATTGACTCCAAATGAATTATCGTTGCTCTATCTTATTTCACGATGCCGAACCTTGCATTACTGAATGGTGTTGCCACTGGATGTCAGCAATCTTTTGGAGACGACGATGATCAAACACAGAGAGTCGTCCAACATCCTCAACTTGGAGAGGGCAGGTTTCACAAGCATAGAACGTGTTGTAGATCCGATCTTCTGCAGCCAGACTAACATTACAAAGGCGCCAAAGATGGCCCAGGTTTGCATAAACCGCTCTGACTTTCACTGTACACGAATTCATCTCATTACTCACGCCAACAACAGCACTTACGCAGCTACCCAGATACACGAACTTCTCTTGTTCACCTGACTTTATTCATTAGGCTTTGTAATTTTTTATCACAATATTTTCTTATCAGTATTGTTTTACATGCAGCTTAGATATTCCCTCTCATTTATCGTCTTAATGCCATCTTAGATATCTTTTCTAACCATATTAACAATGATGTATATATATATATATATATATATATATATATATATATATATATATACACCTAAGGATCAAATTTCAATGGGTAGTGTAGTACAATCAAACATATTTTCTTTACTCTTCAAAATCTGAAGATCACTGAACATATACTGATGCATTTTCCCTATTTATTTTCAGGATGCTGACGGATACAGAAATAATAAAAAAGAGACGCATCATGGTGGTAGCGGTGGGAGTACTGGTGCAAGAAATAGAGCTGGACGGGGTCGTCCACCACAACATACAAATCATTCTAATATCGATAACCACAATGTTGGATCTCATGGGCGAAATCGTGGTGGTAATAACAGTACTCGAAATAACGTCGAACCTCATAGTGTTCACGTTCCTTCGGGTAAGTACAAGTCGAAGATTCATCTGTACCGTTTTTTTGAAAATATTCATACTTGTTTTGGATATGTAAGTAGTTAGATTGATTTTCTCTACTTTCACATCACTTTTGGATGAGATTTATTGTAATCAAGAGTGGTTTGTCTTTCATATTGTAGTATATGTTACTCGCCATATAAGAATGCATGAATAAATCTGGTTATTATCTAATAGTATTAAACATCTTTCCAATGAATTCACACTATAAACATGCGAAAATATTGCTAACGATGTTGCTTTTGAAATTTATCCTTATATATATAAGATAAACTTATGATTGCGTTTACCCCTCAATGGGTCTGAGCATAAACTACCTTATTAACGTTTAAATTTTACATAGAAGTATATATATGTGAATAATTAAAGTCTCCTAACACAGATAAATTACACTTTAGTTTGAACAGATAAATGCAAGACCATCAGTGGAAACAAGATGGTCGTTCTCATATGTTTAATTGATGTTTTTTGCAAGTTGTAATAAGTGGTCTCTGTTCTTGTGTATTTGCAAAAGTATATATGCTAGGCTTGATAAAAAATAGATAACAGTAGATGTTAGCCTTGTTTATGTGGTTAATCTAGTATCGCCTGTTATGTATTTGGTTTGGAGTTGTATGTTCTCTTTAATAATGGGTAACAAAACCAATTTCTGTGTACAACTAAACATATATCTGACATTTCATACCTTCTACTCCGTTATTCCATTTCATTTTTTCGGAATAGATCCTCTTTGTTTAGACTTTCTCACCTTCACTAACACTACTGTCGTTCCATCTACTTCTTTGTTCATTCTTGTTTGCTAATATGGTGTGAAAACTTGGGCCTACACACAAGTGTGTCAGGTTTGACGGTGATTATGACTGACGGACTGTTTTATCATGAGCTGTGTTAATTTAATGAAACACATTTTTATGATCTATTTTGATATTATTGGAAATCTGTTTTATTACATATTGCTTAGGTTACTTATCAGTAGTGTAATTCTAACAGGCTAACAGATTTATTTCAGTCTTTGTTACTGTCATCGATTTGTTCTTAAGTGCAGACTACATGGAAATTTTTTTCTCCCCTGAATGTAGATGTCAAGGTACCTGAACATGATACTCTAGTTCCTACGATGGACAAAGAATCACGGTCTGGAGATAATGTAAGAAGTGATCCTGGAGTACATGTAAGTGATATTTGAATAGTTTTCTTACTTTTTCCAGGGGAAAGCTTCCCAATAAGTTCATATAACTGAATCAGTAGAGTTTCCATCTGTAGGTGGACATGTTATGCTTTAACACAGTTCTTTATGTTCTGTAGGACAGGACAGTAACGTGAACTTAGTAATTAATAATTTCTGATGTTCAATGCTTACGTATTGCCATGCTGTTGGAAAATATGTTACTGCCCAAGTTTCTACCCGGCGATGAACAAACTATCACTAAGAAATATTGTTCCAAATCTTATGGACTTTTCATTCTTTTAAACAGATAACCGTTTCTTCTAATGCTAATTCTCAGTGTGCAGAATCTGTGACTGATTCAAATAAACTGGCTCAACCCCGAACACATCCTGCAGTGGTTTCCAGTTCTTCAACACGCATCAAGGATTTGATTCACTTTGCTATTGAAAAAAATCTTACCAAGGTATTATTTTGAGTATATTAAATAGTAGCGCATGAAACTATTGTTACAATTGGCAATTTCTAAACAAAATACTTATCTTCACAATTGTATTTACTGATCGTATTTCGTTTGATAGACAAGCCTTTATTATGATGTAGATATTTCTATTAAGTTTTCCTAAGTGCATTATCAAAGTTCTAATTTGAGCTCTAAATATCACCAGCTGTCAAAAGTCAGTAAAAGACATTTCACTTCATCTTATCCGGCGACTTCAAATCTCATTTCACAATAAATAACGGTTATTTAATTCATATACCCATTGAAGGTCTTCATGCACACTTATTTTCCTAAAAATGGGGTTGGAAAAAAATAGTTCCGCTGATCTAATTGAAAATCGAATGTAATTCGTTTACTAAATAAATATTTGTTAACTGGGCTTGATTAATTTTGGTTAGTGGTACTGTAGTTAACGAGAACATACGTGGGAACAATCGAAATTACAGAACATCTTACTAAAATCTGAGAACCATACAGTTAATACTTAATTTGCAAAATACTAATCAATTGTCTTAATTTTGACTGTTCCTTCTGCAAAAAGTCAATCAGTCGTTTCAGGCTTCATTTTCTTGCATTTTCATACCAGTTGCTTTCTTTTCCCTTTTTTCCTTCTGTCAGACATTCTAATCCTGACTATCGTCATATACTACTCATGTCGATATAGGTAGTACACGCCACGCTCCCCCAGCTGCTCAAACCGTTGTAGGTGGTCTGAGGTCGAATATGAGGCTTAACAGTTATAAGCCGAGTGTTATATTCACTAAACCACTGTTTCACATTGGGTCTAGTACAATTATAATTTTTGAATAAATATCAATCCCGAATCGAAATAAATATTGTCTGAAAACGTTTATGTAGACTACTTATTTTCAAACAAGCCGTTGGTAAATGGCTTAAATGTAAGAACACAGACATTTGTAGACAAATCATTTTGATTTACAGCAGATTAATAATGACCTATCTAACGGAAAGTTTTCATCCCAGAACTGGATACTTAGACATTATACGATACTTCTCAATCGACCTATATTTAAATCTGTTAAAATTAAGCTTCAATATCTTAGTCAACTCGACTTTTTAACTACGAAATGTAAAAACAAATCTATCTTACTTCCCACTTTGGAAATAAGGGTGTATTTACGTTAATATACCAATATAATCTCCTATTAATCACGTCGGTGTCTGACAAAATCTCGACACGGATTCAGAAATATCGATTGGCTTTTGTCAACTTTCGTCACTGGTGGTGTATTTGAGATATTTTTCTGTCAACCAAAGGACTAGTTTACTGCACAGGAAATTGCTCTGTTCTACTGTTTGGTTATGAGTTATGACCATTAAGAAACAAAATCACTCGTAAGGTATATTGTTCGACCATAGTTGTCTCCGAACCATTCGTTTTGGAGCCACCAAATGAGCAATGCTCATATCAAGCATAAGGTGCTAGGTAAAAATAACAAATCAACTGACGAAGTGGTGAATCTCCACCAACTGAGGTTTTTGGAACATGTGACTTATCCTCAACCGTCATGAGGTTGGTAGAAAGCTAAGGTTGACCAAACCAAAACATATGATCAGTTCATCAAGGGATTGACATCAGTGCTTGAAGACACTAACTTCTAGTCTGAGCCATATTGGTAGATGCGGACTACTTGATTGGGGTCCGCGTGTCTATCGTAACCAATGGTTGGAGACTCTAGGTGACATGGTTCAGAATCGATCACAATGGTGTAGGTTTATACACTCTTTGTCCTCCCTTGAACCGTGAGATTAAACTTAATTTATACCTTTCTCTATACGAACTAATTCTTTCTCCCTGTATCATATCTTAATAGGATATCTTTTCTTACTACCATTGAAGTAATAATTATTTCATATTTTTCTTTCTACGAACTAATTCTTTCTCCTTATATGCAATCTTTCTTTTATATATTACCACCATTGACTTAACCACTCCTATGAATCCGGTGTTCATCTTGTTGTGCTAATGCTGTATGGCAACTTGGACCGACGCATATATGTGCCTGGCCCTACGTTTTAGCTGACTGACTGACTATTGAACTGAGCCATGCAGTTAAGTGCAGATTTTCTGACCGGGGTCCACGTGACCATCGTAATCACTGGATGCAGCTCAGAATCTCTTGCGTATGCGCAAATGCATTCACTCGTTTTCCCTTAAAACTTGAATCCCAAAGTCCCTATACTATTACAATGTTTACTATTCTGAGAAACGTCTTCTTAGTGTTATGTGGTTGTGCTAATATGATGTATCAGTCTGGGCTGTCGTACATAAATATTGTTATACATTGTACATGACTTACTGACTAGAAATATTAATAGATACTGTGCTACAGAAGTTGTATAGATTATGTCAGTTTCTTAGAAACCCAATGGTTCTATCCAGATCATGTATATGTTTATTTAACTTTAAAATCTTATATTGAGCACTACTAAACATTTTCATCTCATTGTGCGGGATGATACTCAGTTATGAATCAGGTGTTCTTCTTACGGACGACTAGTATTTTAGATTCGAAATACTTTTTAGTATGACACATAGTTGTCTTATTAAATTACGTTATTTATGGAAACTCAGTTAACTTTGGATTAGTTATTACCGTTAACTGACACAAGCCGAGAAATATCCTGCCGGCATGTTTTCTAAAAGCTGAAACTTTTTTATGTAAGTGTTATTTTAATTTCTTTATTATAATTGTATTGTATTATTATGTATTACCTCAGCCTTCATCATGTGATAACCAAGTAACCACAACTGAAACTTTGTCTTCCCGTATCTCCTCGATAGGTGAGATGTTTTTATTTATGGAATTTCATTTTTTTATTTTCTGTACGGTTGCTTAATACATGCTCTATTCTTTTTTTAAACGAAAATTTGATTAACGTGGATTTTATCCAAGTACTTTATCTTTGACGATAAAATTAGATTATAAGTATAAATTAATAACTTGTAAAAGGTACGAATAAACACATAAACATTTTGTTATATTTTTAACAGATAATATCATAGCATTAAATATGTTGTTAATATCAGGGTTGCTTATTAGATTGGTGTACGTTCGCATATTTCCCACTGAAAATGCTGTTTATTATTTCAAGTCACTTATCTAGCATCTCCATCACTCCATTTTGATTTCACTAGATTTCTGCCGAGTTTTATCGCTTAACATTTTTAGTAATAAAACAACACTCATTTTCAAAAATAAATTGCTAATTACTGTACATTTAATAGGTTGTTCTAAGGTTAGGATTTCTTTGATTCACTAGTGTCGCTATTATTAACTCATTCTACATATTTTTGCTGTGTAACTTATCAAGTGGTTTTATCAAATTGACTCGGTTTCATATATTTCTGTGTTTTATTATTGATTTTTCAGATATAAAGAAATTATAAGTAAAACTCATAGTTCTAACAATAACACAACGTTTTGCTTTGTGAATTAAATGATCTGATATGATTATTATGTCAAAAAGTGCTGTTAACTTCGCACATTTAAGTTCTCCATAGATGTACCTACTGATCAGCAAACACCTTACGCCTAAAACACTCGAGCACCAATCATTAGGTAGCAATTCCAGATTCTGCTTAAGTTACTTAGTAGTATCACTAGTTCTTATAAAAAATACGACTTAAAGCTGATTTCATAAATATGTACTTGTTTGCTAAATTGTATTTATTAAAGGTAACTCTATGGACTTCTAATAAGTTTAGTTTTTGTTTGATTTCTTGTTGGTGTTGACATTGCATAAAATCATCCATGCTTAGTTATCATTTTAGATAATAAACATTTTTGTATTGATAAATGATGTCCATAATTTACAGGTCCTAGTTCCTCTCAATCTACTTCAACTAATATGGCAAGTGTAATTACAAACTCTAAGCATAATAAAAACCCTTCAACTTCAATTTCAACTGTGATCCCAAGTTGTCTAGTCTCTAGTCATATGGTTACGGATAATTCAGATACATCTATTGTTTTTCCATCGACAACGGCAGCTGAGATTTATGCAGCTGCTGCACGATTTGCAGCTGTTAGCGCTAGCGTTTGTGGAATGGTGAGTGGTATGGTTGTTACTACATTTTTCATATAACCATTAAATAGTTTGATTGTAATTTATGTTTGACCTGTAGAAGTTATCTAATTAGTATTTCACTTATTTACGTTTATATTGTATTGTAATCAATAACTCACTGTTTTGTTTGGTATTCAAATAACTGCTAATTCATTTCTTTATCAAACTTAGTCATATTTTTAAAACAATTTTTCTTTGTTTACGTTTATAACTGGCTTAGTTTGGATTACCTTCTTTGTAAGAGAAAAATATCAAGAAAAATTTCAGTAAAATATTAAATGGCAATCATTAGATAACTTCAAGTTATTTCCTAGGTTGCTATTACGTTATGTTTTCCCTCATTACTATTACGAAAACCGATGAATTTCCTAACAGTTAATGTATTTCACACATTTTACTGAATTTTTTGCTAATTCACGAATCAAATTTAACGTCAAAATAATTTAAAATGTTTTCAGAATACTGATCCATCAGTGATGTCTGTTTCGTCCACGGTTGATTCTTCCGGAAGTCATAAACTGGATGTTAATAAGTCATCTGTATCTACTGCTTCCTTATCAAGTAACCTACATTCAAAATCAGAACTGTCTGATTTTACTAGCGTGGATGCAGCAAAAAAATGGATGTCTTCATTTGTCCCATCATGTGGTTCTTTAAGTCTTTCTCATCAAACTTCTGATAGTCGTCTCATGGATCCATCTGCTTCTAGTAAAGCAATTCTTATCGGAGATTTTTTAACTGCGCAACAACTCGATCGTGCCGATTCATCTAATTGGGGTGGCAATCACTCAAATTCACGCCAAGGTAGTGTTTTAAAAAAAAATATTTAATCAGGTCTATATGATCTTCGATTAAACTTATGTTTTTATGTAAGCTGTCATGCTTGATGTATATCTGAGTAGTTTATTGTTTGTTTACTTTGAGAATATGTGGGTATCGAAAAAATAAACAGTTTTTTCTTGACCTAATCAACACAACGCACGTAATCGAAGGACAAAAGACAAGTAGGGTTATTGTTCCGTGTCATTACTAACATATATAATTGAATAAGTGCTTCCGGTGATGTTTCTTATCTATTTATTGAACTTTTCATTTGTGAAGATCTAACTTCTTTAGAGGTAGGTTTTCTTTGCTCGAGCATTGTAGTTTGTTCATATAACACCTGTCTTCGACAGCAATCATCGTTAAAATTCAATGAAAAGTGTGTTAGCATGGTATAAATAATTTTAATTCACCTACTTGCTTGCGGTTCATTAAATGTAATGCATTTTACAAATGAATATCCTGTATTATTCTACCTTATAAACTGCTATTGCTTCAGTGATTTTCATGAACAACACAACTCAATTTATGGTAATACTGGTGCTAAGTAAAATGTAAATGAACGTGTTCATTATTATAATCCGAGTGAACCCATATCATTATATATCGGGGCAGTTTTTTTCTACAAGTATGTCAGTTTATTTGCTTTGAATATGAACGATGATCATTCAAAAATAATAAAATCCAATGAAAGATTTCTGGAAAAAACCGTTGGGGTTTTCAAATTTTGCCAAAGTTTGAGAACAAATCCATAGCTGTAACACTAGCTTAATATCTCGCAACTACCTAAACTTCAGTACGTATTTACAATAAGTTCTTTGGCTTGTGCGAACTTATGTTACATATGGCATAAGTGAAATCCATATACAGGATGAGTATAGTACCCAGACGTTCAACTTGTTTTAATTTCTGGCTGATAGACGTTTCCTTAGAGAATATCCATGGGTTACTGTTATTCGTTTATGAATCCCTTCGGTACATTGTTTGGGTATATTGGAACGATGCAGAGGTTAGATTCAAAGTATTAGATGGAAATGGCAATCGGTTTATAGGGTAGTAAGTCTTCACTGACATTTGTTACATATGGCTATTTATTTATTTTAACACATAGATATTGGTACAAGGAGGCATCAAATACATATGCGCCACACAAATCTCATTCGATATGTGTGAGGACTGTGATACTGCCCGGGTGCCCAAACCGAAGCAGTACATATAGCTAACTACTATCTACCACGTACATCGGCGCATAATAATAACTGGCATAGCAATTTCTTGATAGATATTAGGGGTGGTCAAACCAAATGTTGGTACGAATTCATGAGGTCACTGACTGCTGGGCTGTACTGTTGTGGTAGGTTCAAACAACCAATTTGGGGTCCGGGTTTTTATCGTCCTGAATGACTGGGTGATGTGTCTCAAAATCGACTGCAGTGGCGCAGATGCACTTTTTGTTATATCTTAAATCTCGAGTTTCAAAATTGTCCTGTGTTTTTTTATTTTCATGAACCCATTCTTTCCTGAGTTGTATCATCTATATTCATATTTTCAATTGCTGCTGATACTGTTGATGATTCTACTACATTAAATTTTGTCTTGGTAATTTTATCTCACCGTGTTGATATGTTATGGCAGCTTGAACTGATGTGGATATGTTAGATTCTACGTTGCAAATGACTTGCTGACTTGAATTAAGATAGACAAACTTAGGTTCGAATCAGTGACTTATAAGGTTCAAATTAAATTTCTAACACTATATTAGTTGCTTAGGTCCAACTTCCCGTTCTTCATCTAAACACTGACCGAAAAGTAGAAAATATTTAATTAATACTGGGTAGTGGACGAGAACACAAGTGGGGACAATCGAATGTATTTGAATACAAAATCTAACAACCATACAGTAAATACTTCATTTTAATCGTTTAAATATCCCCATCATATTTTTAAAAAAATAATAATTGAACGAAGAATATTCTTTTCGATAAGTTCTGTTCAATTTCTATGATTATATATCCAAATTAATAACACGAAAAACGGGGAAAATGCATCGTTTAAAGCATGTGAATTTAGGATTGTTAATATTGACAAGACTCATATACAATGTTAACTTGAACCAGCTTATGCGTTAAGTGAAAATTTAAGATCCATGGTCAGAATAAATATGGGTCAGATAGGGTGAGAGAAATAATAGTGAAATTACAATTCGATCAAATGTTTAGTGGAAGAATATATTATGTAGAAAATTTTTTGGTAAGGTGGGATGGATGTGATGTGTATTAATCATGTATTGGGGAGATTAATAATGATGTTTCACCAATAGTACTAATAATAATAATACAAAGATTTGTGCGTAAATATAACAGACAATTACATTTGACTACAAAAGTTCATACGTATAATAGTCAAATTAGTCATTCAATGGCTAAGATTACTATTAATTGATTGGCGTTGCGGTTGTACAACGGAGGGAAGCGATTGAAGATATTTCTTTTGTACACATACCTCCTGTTTTTTTCATCCGGATCGCTACAGCTACTGAAGGACTTCAAGTCTGATAAGCTTTGCCAAAGATTCTCTGACCCGATAAATAACTGAAAAGGATTGGTTTATACTGACATTATGACCAGTTTGCACTAGATGGGCCAATATCGAGCTGTTCACTTTCTTCACCAGACCTTTGCTTAGCCACACTGGGAGGTGTGCCTTAAAACTGGCAATTTTTCAGTTCACAAATTTGGATATATAATTGTAAAACCTGAAGAGAATTTATCGGAAAGAATATTCTTCATTCAGATATTAGTCTTTTAGATACTTCATTTGTAAAATGTCAATCAGTTGTCTCGAACTTCGATGTTCCTTCTGCAAATGTCAGTCAATCGTCTCGGAATTCATTGTTCTTTTGATTCTACATCAATCGTTCTTCGTTCTCATTCTCTTTTCTTCGATCTTCTTAAACTTCTGCCACCACACATTTCCCTTTCGTTTGATGATACATGCTATTTATATCGTTCGACTTCAATAGCACTCAACACACTAGGTCTAAAATTGTGAAAGTCTCGATAAATTATCAATCATCAAAGAAATATAAGAGAAGAATTTTCTTTGGATTTTTATAAAGAGAATTCTTGTAAAATATTAGCGTAGTCCTTCAATTTGGAAATAGTTTACTTCATATAAGTATTCTGTAATCCTTATAAAGATAAAACAAAAAAGCTGGTGAATATAAGAGACCTTTGGTTGTTTTCATTTATATTTTAGAATCCTTTTTGATTGAAGACTTTGCTGTGTTTTTTGGTCAAAATTTTAGTTCACTTATGTCATATTTTTGTCATATTTCTTTCATGCAGCTGATTACGCTGGATCCTATCAAGTTTCTAGATCTATTGATCCATCTACCTTACCTGTCTGTGTTAGTCATATTTCTGCAGCTTATGGGAATTTTGATTGTCACCCAGTATCAGATTTTCGAACATCATCAAGTGTTTCTGGTAAGTATTTTTTCCCCTTATATAGACATACATTTTCCATATAACTATATATACGAATGTACAGCTTAAGCAAATGATTTCGTCGAAAAGGAAATTTTCTTCGCTGAATTCTTCTTTTCCTTATTCAATGACATTATGGGTTATTTTAATTATATTCTATTCAATAAATTCTCATTAGATTCTACAATTATAAATCTAATTAATGTTTCAAGGGAAGGACCAATTTTAGTGCAAATACATCTTTCAGGAATTACAGAGTATGAATTCAGGGTTAAAATAAAATAAAATCCCTAATGTTGTAACTTATAGTATACAATGTTATTTTGTGTAAGTTTATACATAAGTTGCAAGTCTGAAATTTGATAATCAAGATAAATACAAATAGCATAAAGTGAGTGAAGTAACAAAGTAAAATCAAATGTTTAATAGGTTACGGAATGTATGGAATGATGATATCGATTAAAGTAATAGTTAAGTGACATTGATGCTGATTGATTATGTGACAGATGACTACAAACAATGGATTCATGCTTTCTATATAACCCTTTCGCACTAACTGGAGTTATATACAACTGTTGACAGTTCTAACTACGCCTTCGCTTAGTAACTTTGGAAGGTATTCGCAACACAGGTATGTGAATTCCTAAAATATCTAGCAATGCATTATGCTCTACTGGAGTAGTTCATTTGATAAAAGCATAAAAAGTTGGCTGGTCCAGTTGTTGCTCACTAAAGTTACTCGAATACTGTTCTAAGACATTTCCGATTTCAAAGTAGTCATGATCTTGTTAAAAGGTGGATGAAATTTTATTTTCCGTATTGTAAGAGTTTCAGTGTAAACTTTCACTTTGTGTACGGTCTTATTACAAACTACCAATTAACTTTATATTATTTTTATGACAAATTTTACTGACTTTTATTTTTCCCTTGTTTTAAATAGAAAAATGCTTGGGTAGTGATATCCTCGCTGAACATGCTATTAGGTTGGCTATACATGCCAAAGCTGCCGCTGCAGCAGCAGCTGCGTCGTCATCGGTTAGTCAGTTTGATGGTCGTAGTTCATCTGTGTCAGAAAACAATTTTAGTGGTCCAGAACGCTGTGTATACTCACCTCTGTCTCCAAGTCCTGTTAAAGTAAGATGTACTTTTTGTTTATAGCTATCCCAAAATGTATGGTTTTATTGCAATATTTTCTGATTATTCGATAAATATCTCTTCGAATTTGCGTAAAATCTCAAAAATATGTATAGTTTTGTATCAATTTTTCTTTTTAGGCTGATAGTTTATTGTCACCTGCCAACCATTCTACTCCTCCGTGTCAACCTAATCCACTGTTGGGAGTTCCAGTTTCTAGGAATGATACCAATCACCAATCGACATCTTCATTTAATCGCCAGCTAGATAATAGTCTTAATTCTATATCTTTCAAACCAGAAAATGATCCTAACATGTCCATAAGTTCAGATCAGGTGGCATCATTTATTGCAAACGCTAATAAATTATATCTAGAAGAACTTGGGTCGTATACTTCTCGTGATCGATCTAATCCTATACGGACTCTAAAGGATAACGAATCTTCTCAGTTTTATGGTGTTATACAACAGTTACGGCAGCCAAAGGAGGAAAGTAGTTCTCTCCACCTTCCAAGTGCTTGCAATGTGTCTGTTACTAATATCAACATTCCGAATCTGAATTTTAGAGATCAGCAGTCGGAATATATGGGTATGTGTCTACCACGTCCACATTCATCTGAGGGTGCCGGTAATCATACATTTGGTTCATACATGAAAAGTGAATTATCAAGAGGAACTCCAAGATGTATAGTAAGTAAGATTCTTTTCGCTTTGATGCTATCCCTTTATCCACTGAATATCGGAATATTCACGGTGGTTTTTCCTTGTAAATTGCTGATGCTTTTTGTGATTTATGAACTAGTAGTATTTATAGCCTTGCTAAATTAATCTAATTTTAATAGACAATGCAATAGTTATTAGCTTTAATAGTAATATAACTTCCGAAAGCTTCAAGATCATAGATACCATATGTGTCCACGCTAAGTTACATGGGAGGAAGGTTATTCAGTCACTCAGCTACAACGTGGGACCAGGCGCATATATGCATTCGTCCAAGTTGTCACACCTCATTAGCATAACAAGATGAACACCAAATTCATAGAATTATCTCCTTTAATGACTGTAATATATACAAAAGGATTGTATATAAAGATATGATACAGGGAGAAAGAATTAATTCGTATGGGGAAAGGTATAAAGTAATCTCACGGTTTATGATAAGACAGAGATTATCAATTATTAAGTCAAACCTTGGCAATGATACCTAAAATGAAAATGGATAAAGATTGATATGCAGACACGCGCTCAATCAGACTCACACATGATTTTACATAGTGGATTGTGTCTAAATTACAGTGAGCAGACAAATAATACAAAAGTTGAATGGGCTTACTACAGCTTAACAAACTCTGTTCTCATTGAAATGAGAATTTGAGTTTTATACGTGTCTATATGAATTAAGCACAATTGAGAATAAAAATGTTCTTAAATTGTGCTACTTTTTTACTTCAAGTAACTCGTTTCGGTGTAATTCATGTCGTATAGCTCTATTACCGATCAGTATTTTCTCAGAAGTTTAGAACTGTGTATCGCTCCTATATTCCAACTAATGCTAGTACAATCATCTAAGTAAATTAAGTATTTACTGAGTTTATATAAAAATCGAATTTTTCGTTTAAATACATCCTACTTATATCATTGACGTATAATGTACCTAATTCTTTTTTGTGTTATTTTTTGGCTTAGAATGACGCAGTCGAACGTTTTACACTCTTGGTACATTTTAGCGTAATTAGTCAAGTTTGGAAAAAAAATAAGTTATAATATAGGGTAACAAAACGACTTAGCGAGGGATTGATTGATTACTTAATCAGCAACTCAGTGATCAGAGGATGAATAACCAGTAGATGACAACTTTATTCGAGACAAGTTTTTGTCATTTAAATCGCTAATGTTTTAGTTTTCTGTAACGCAAGAGTTTGCAATTTTTTACAATCTCTTCATTTCCAGTTAAAATTTGTCGATATTCTTTACATATAAAATTTTCTAAGCACTATTCACCCTTTTATTTTTGTAATGTGCTTGTTCATAAACTCAGCCATCTAAAGGTCAAAACGATCGCATACAAACATCTAGTAATCCAACTGAACTCAGTCAATTTGTATCAGATTCTGTCAACCCGGTTAATAATATAGATTCTCATGTTTCCTCTAATACAAGCAAGCGTTCGTCTGTGCATGGGGGTTTGAATACACTAGAAAGCCATATTAATAAGGTAATGTAGATTCTTTTGTATATTTTTAAATCTTTGGGTAAAAAAGTGTTTCTCTCTGATATTCGGTGCTGTTTTTCCCGTTTACGACAATCATAATTATAATCGTTAAAGACTAAATTGATAACCCAAAATTATATCATTACTTAGTTTATACGCGTCCTAATTTGCTGGCATTTTTCTACGTATTGAATAAGTCCATATTGGTGAACCTTTTTGTGTTGAAATCTTTAAACTAGTCTGTAATAATAATAATAATAATAATAATAATAATAATAATAATAATAATAATAATAATAATAATAATAAAATTTTATAACTATCGAATGCAAAATGTCAGAACAATGCTTTTTCAATGAGGCGATTTCTATTTTGCTTCAGGAACAATAAGTTATAGCATACATCTTATTTCGTAAGACCAGTGAAATGGAATTGTAGGTCGAGTGCTTTAAACATTTGATTTTCAAATGTTGGGATATAAATTTAATGCTACTCTGTTTAGATATATGATTAGATTTCTATACATATATACCATGCTTAGTTCCATTAGTTTTGAAGAGAATTAACTAGAAGGTAGTTTTATCACGACTACTGTATTTTGTGTAAGTTAATAATTGGAACTGTTAAAGTTGTCAGTATTCTTCGTCATTTCGTTCTTCCATGATATTTTTGACTGCTAGTTCAAAAGTTCATACACTATCTATTTCAGGCTATTACAGAGGAAATACGAGCTCAAACAATTTCAAGAAATTCATTTTTTCCACACAATATATGTTCGCCTCATCTACCCAGGACTCCATCACCTATTAGCAAACACCATTCCACACGTAATTCAGGTTTGTGTGCATGAAGTTTTGTGTCTAATCATTGGTTGTTAATATATTACGTTTTGTTTATAAAGCATTGTATTATTTAGCTAACTTTGGTATTCGGTATATATCTGACAAAAAAACTAATGGACTTTTGTGATCTGGTTACTGATATTGTTCATGGAATTAGATTTAGATATTATGCTGTTTTTCATCAATATTGACCACTTTATTATGTCATTTTTCTGTTCATTAAATGCAATGGAATTAGACAGCATTATTGATTTGACTTTTAACCCGGCTCATGTGTGGATCAGTTTGCGTTACCATAACACATCAGAACAGCGAAATGAAATTACCCAGACAAATGCCCAGAGTAATAGAATTCGTATAAATAAAAACATAGTTAGGCATAGATTATATGCTTAGAGAAGAAAAAAATCCATTTGAAGGATAAGAGGTAAAAACTTTCGGAAAAAAGAGTAGAAGTTTCTAGGTCACTGTAATCGGATGCGTTGCTATCGTATCGAACGTCTCCAACTATAAGTCAATTTATTTCCAAATTTAGTATTTAATTTATCGCCACCTGACTATTATCATTCTAATACTAATCAGCATATGTTCACTAGTGACTGGCTTCAAGAAGTATTTCTTGAGGTTTTGATGAGAAGTGATCAGTGGATATAGTAACTCAATGAAGACAATGGTGGATGTGTCGCTCAATTTCGTGGATTAGTTGAAGGTTGACATTAACACCATTGTATGCTGGCTCAGTGGTTAAGCGTTCGCGCGCGAGAACGATATGTCCTGGGTTTGAATCTCATTAGTTGGGATCGTGGATACTCAATGTTGAGGAATTCTACAATAGGACGAAGCGGTCGTCCAGTGCTTCCAGGTTTTCCGTGGTAGTCTAGCTTCAATTGACTCATGAACTCAACTAATGAAATTATGATTATTTTTTTGGTGAATAATCTATTATATTGTGAGTTATTTTGCTACATCTTCGTGTATATACATTTCATATGTAACGTATTCAAATGATTATATTATATTCTTATCTTTTATCTTTTTGTACCATTAGTTTAATTTCTCGTTTTTTAAAATAATAAGCTTATATCCCAGTCATTATTAACGATTTAATCTCACACTACTTACAAGTAACTGGAAAATGGGCATGTAAAATTTTTCTGTTATTTCAGCATGATTATTTTGCTGAATTTTACTATTACATTTAGTCTCTTAGCTATTACATTTCACAAACATGTGTAAAAATGTTTTGGCAATAATAAAAAATTTGGGCATTGTATACCCAAACTTTGTGAATTTCCTCTTTCTTACGTATATATTGATTCGAAATTTTTGAAATTGAGTTTTATTTTAACGTGTTAATATCGGAATTCCACTTTTATGCAAATATAGATTCTCAATTTCATTTAAATGTGCCGCTGAAGAAGCAGGATCGTTCTATTTCGCGCTCTCCCGGTATGGTGAACAGTTCAATGATATCAGGTTCTAGAGATTCTTTCAAAAATTCTACTTCTAAAATCCCAGCACCTGAACTTCTTACGGCAAAACTTCCTGCTGCTAACAATGAAGACTTTTTAAATAAATCAAATCAAAAAGGGTATGCACAGAAGCGAAAAGTATCTGAAATGGTCAAAAGTAATTCATTGTCTAGTAATATTGACTCTGCAGTAGACCATTCTACTTCGCCAGATGGTGGTACAGAATCTCCAGGATTATTACAAATAGACTTAGCTGTAAGTTTTTAATTTTATCTGAATATAACCCTTCAAGTTTATCATTGTTATATTGATTTCTATACTTTATTCTAATAAAGATATATTTTTCGTTCATTCATCTAAAATAATAGGATTTATTTTTCGTGATTTCAAAGTGAGCGTACATTTCTGTGAAGTTACTGTTGCGAGGTCAGTCCCCTAAGACGTGTGATATTTAAGTGTCACATCAGTGGGTCATTTTTCGTACTACCTGTTAGGACATGTATCTACTATGTATTCTCAAATGTTTCGTCAGATTTCTTGCATGGTCTCATACTTAGACATTAGGATTGTCAAAAAAGGATTTTTGCGTTCATTACTGGACATAAATCTACCTTAAATTTAACTAAGTACGTTTATACACAGATATAATAATTGACGTTGGAAACAAATCGCTGGACAAAATACACCATTGACTGGATTTAAAGTCTTAAGTACTGACCTTGTCTTAATGAACCAATCATTACATTACCGATTTCATTGTCTTATTTTTGTGTTTTATCATATATTCTTTTCTAGGCCTCTGATTTTTCACCTAAGGTTGTGTCGGGTGCAATGAATTCACATCTTAAGGATGTTCCTCACTTATTGTCATGCAATACTAGTTCTAATTGTATTCAATCTGTTAAAGAATGCGGACGTGATGATTCCCTAGATCGGTGGTCACATACATATGGAAATGACAACAGTATAGACTGCAATCATAGTTCAACGGGATTGCTAGGAAATTATGATGTTGACTCATTGGATTCAGCTCCGTTAAACTCGCTATAAACGTCTATTTTGTATTTATGAATAAAGAAATATATTAATATGTTTTGAAACGTTGCCATGGTTATATATGTACTGTAAAAACATGATGGAATTTTAGTTTTTCTTTTTAAACTGATTTGGTTCCAAATCTGCTTGTTTTAATCTGACATTTATTTAAAATATCAAATCGCCAAACTTTAAATTTCAGTATCATTTTTGATGTGTGTCCTATCGATTCATCGGATATAGTTTATTATTTTGCACTTATGTTTTCCTTTTTGAAGTTCACATTTTTTGTAATTTTTTGAATACATGAATGCTGTTGGCTTACAGACAGTGCAACAAATTTTATTTTAATGACACATGTCTCTAATATATGTGTATGTATGTTGCCCCATGGACAACTTTGTTTCTTTTTCTATCTCTGTGTTGTCCTCAACGTACTCTATTCCTGCTTTTGAAACATACCGGTTTAAAGTTCTGTTTGTCTTAATCGACTAACTTATCGCATACAATAACAAAAAGGGTGCATCAACGTAGTTCGAGTAATGTATGCACAAAAAAAACAATTAAACTTTATTTTACTAGTTTCATATTGATATTAATTGTTAATCAGGTTTATAATAACAATTAACAATACTGTTTTAAGTGATTGTATGAAATAGAATTGTTCTAATGTTTACTCATACTAGTCGTTTTTCCTCTTATTTACGTTACTGTATAATCATTTGCCTTTTGTGTAGTTTTAAGTTCATGTTTGATTTATTTCCAAATTTTAAACAGGTTTCCTTTGAAAAACGCTCGGTTTACTTATTTTGATTGTTATCCTGTTTAGATTTATTATAATTAGCACAACAACGATGTGATTTCCTCTCTTCCACATTATTGTTATACTTGCATTTTGACATTTTGTTACCTATATGACAGTATAATTGTATTTTTATTGAACGTGATATGGTTGCGAATATAGAATGCTTTCTGTTTACTATAGCCTTGGTTGTTGGACCAACCTTGTAAGACATTTTATGGGCCTCCGTTTACTGAGACGGTTGTTGTTGTGGAATCACTTTCAAACATTTAGATCAGTAACTGCACTTATAGAACAATATGCTTACTGTTATAATTTGTCGTTTGAATGCTTATTGTCTTGGCTCTTTTAATGCTACTTTTTGTATCTGGTCGTCGCTGATTGTTATGTCGGAAACGCTTATCAATTATACTCGGAACGAGGGACCTTTGCAATTCCCACGACGCGAAAGTAAGAACACAAAGACTGGTATAAATGATGATTTATTAACCACAAAACACGATGACTAGTACACCCATTTTGATTAATAATTAGGATGAAAACACATATATGAAATATATTCAGAGTTATAACAAATCACAAACTGAGCATAGTTCATGTCAATGAAATACAAGAATATCGTATATTATACAGAATAAAATATCATACGACAAAACAAAGCCGAATACTACATTGAGTAATCATTACATTGAATCAAAACGGAAGTACTCTTGGACTTAAATCATAATGAGTAAACCCATCAAAAATTGACTTTTGTTTCCATCATCACTTAGCAAATGAAATGGTTATCCTAATCTACAATACATTCACGGAATTTTCATTCGTCTTGATATATGTCAATGTACCGTAAAAGATGCTCTTGTGTAGATTCCCTTGAATATTTAAGAGCAATTCTAAAAAAAAATAAATATCAGTTCGGTAACTATTGAGTAGCAAGAAGCACTGGCCAATTTCACAAGGAAATTATTCAGTAGTAGCCGCTTACTACCTAATATGGGGTCAAATCCAGCGTCTTTAGGTTTGTGGCAAACACTGAATTATAGTGCAGCAGTCTGCCTGTTCATCAGATCGTTTTCTTGCAGCAGATCATGATCTCACCTGAGAGTTAATTGCAATCAGTTGCTAATTCCTGAATTATATTTTTCGTTGGGTGATAGTTATATGGAGTTTGTGAACAATATAGAAAGTCGTCAAAACGGCGTCAGATGTTATACACTTTTGAATGTATTTAAAGTCCCGTTCATTTTGTTGAGATTAGTTAAGACCACTCAAAACTAGGTTTGTTAAGAATCACCAAATTACAGTTTTACTAGGCCTGTCTATAATTCAGCGAATATACTCGTATTGTAAACGTTCAACCGATGTGTAATCTAAGCATATCAATTATCCACCTAAGTGGTGCTAACAACAACATATTTTCATAAATAATTTTATAATAAGTACCTGTAGTTACAAAAAGACATAATTTCGTAATTTTTTGAAAGTGTAAATATTCGTCGGTTATGAAATCGTATATCGCCCTTACATTCTGGCTGGACTTTTCATCCCCCATACATTATCAAAGAACAGTTTACAAACTTACACTCTGTGTTTATGACTTCGAATATGAGGTTGAAATAAATAGAGAAACCTAATGAACAACAGTTTTTTTTTCTTAATTCAACCAGCTAATTCTAGTATATTTGCTATGTAACTAACTGTGTTCCATTTTATTTAAGATTATTCAGCTGGATCTACCTGTACCGGAAAGTTAATAATCGCTATAATAACCCAGTACCATTGACTTAAAGTGTCAACGCATTATACACTTAGCTACAGAGTCACTCTGGATGCATATATAACAACAGAAGCTGATCCTTTGTATCTGTAACTATAAATTAAAATCCTTACTAAATAGCTAGTTGTCTAGAATCCTATAGTGAATTTGTTGATGCTTTACAAACTTCGTGAGACATGATACGTGCATTAAAAGCATATTACAAAAGTGTTGTCTAGAGAATGAAATAGGTATTGAAACACAAATTGTTTAGGAAAAGTTGGCTTTGTGAGATGTAGATAATTCATGCTTCAATCAACACTAAAATAATTGTATGATTTTGATAAATGAAACAAAGCATATTGCCGGCGCTTATTATGCGGCTACAAAATAAATCTGGTCGGTGCTTTCCTGATGTTATATGGTACTGAACTCTGAAAACGAACGTGAGAAATCTTGAAGTGCTTTCTTCAATGTTATCAGCTTTATAATAACAGTTAAGTGGCCTGTACGTATTTACCTGTTAATATTCACCTAATATGCTGAGATAATTTGAAAGTTTTTGAGCGAGATATCATTCAAATTTAAAAAGCACCACTATATTTTGTCTATAATTCTGTTTAGGATGCATTTTACGTAATTCAGTAAGTATGATGTACTTATGGCTATCAGAATAGAACTTCATTTGAGCTTTTCGGTGTCAGAAACAGTAGATGTCTTTAGAAACAGTGTTGAATACTGTGAGGATGATTCTGAAGATCAATTATGAAAAGTAGATTAACTAAAAGAGAACATAATGCTACTAAACTGAGAAAATTAGACAAAATAGCCTGAACTTATGGGACACGGACAAATAAAGAAAGAATACCATCATGTGAAAAATAATGAACAGCACGATATAAAGCGAGCTCAAGTTACGGAAGGCCTATATAAAGAATTGTGCAGACACAAGAGCGCCTAAGCAATAACTGTTTAGACATCCCAACCATAAAAAAGATATCTATGCATGTGTAGTAAAATATTGTCTCAGGTAAAAAAATACAAGGATGGTTGTTATGACACATAAAGTCATATCGTCTACAAAAAATAAATGGATTTGGACAGCGAACGACAATACATAGGACAGTGAAGTCTCGATGAATGTGAAAAAGAGCAACGTGCAGATGATTAACACTATAGGGTTCAAAAATGGTCTGCGATCGTTGGATATGAAATAAGAAGAGGTAAGATCAAGAAAAAAGCAGTTATTGGACCCTAGTATTTGTGTTGTCATCAGTGTCCAGATAAGTCAGTTGGCCTCAATAAGTTATATAGCTACAAGGGGACGTTGTCTTTATAATAACTCGCCATTTTTCTCTTTATTAGCAGAAATTGATCAATCGGTTTTCGAGAGAGTTTAAACGATATAAAATCTATTCAAATGCATCACAAACTGCTGTTTTAATACGGGTATAAAATCTCTACATATTGAAAGTTATATCAAAAACACACCCTTATAACTTTATTTATGTATACGTATTGGTTTAGAGTTTCTTAGACTTAATACCATGACCTAAAGACCGTGAAATCCCATCGTTTCTTCAAAGTTAAATTATAACTCACTGGGAAATCTAAATTTTGATAAATCTACATTTTGGAAGCTAGTACATGGTTTGCTTTTGGGGTTTAAATAAAGATAGACAAGTACTGAAGTATTCTTTAACTTATTTTTGTTCCGCGCTTATGTATATTGAAAGATTATTTGGCGCCGTTTTCTCGATAAGTGATCCAACCCACATCAAGCATTGAAAACGACAAGCTTGTTATTCTAGTCTGGTATATGAGTGAAAATATGTCTTGTAGTGAAGATTGAACATTGAGTGTTAGTAATAATGTTTATTATTTTAGCTATGGGCAAATAAGCGTTCAATTAGGAAAAAGAAATGAAAAAATGGCCTGCGCTCACTTGTGATTCCTACTTTTAGCTTTTATTTTATAAATACTACTAGTTACTTTATTGGTATGCATTTTTAAGCTGTATTTGTAGTGTTTTTAAAAGTTTGCCCACAAATCATGCGTCATATGACGCTTCAGTTTTTCTAACTATTTATGATTCGTAAAGATTTCGATGAAAATTGCATATTAGGTTTTGTAGCACTCTAATAACCATAAAACTCTCTCCTAACTACCTGCGTATGTAACTAAATATATACGTTTATTCAAAAATTGGTTCGGATGATAATTACAGAAGACACTGTTTCTAAAATAATTTTATCAGCTTTTCCATATACTAACATATAAGGCACCATAAATTGACTATGTATATGGAATATTAACGAGATTTTCAGCTTATACTGGAAAATATTAGGAACAATGTGTTTCTTATTAAATTTAAAACGCTTGTGGTCTTAATTAATTAGTTATTTCATGGAGGTAAAACGATTTTTCATACCTCAGCCACCAAACACTTGGAGTAATATATGTTTAAAACAAGAGCCTGTTTAAAAAATGTTAAATTAAAAAGATATCTGTGATTAATGTATTCTTTTGACTTTGACGAAAGGAATGATTTACGAGCAAAAAATTAGCTAACGTACTATGGAACTAAACAATTAGCTTCCCTCACAAATTAAATGAACTAAGTAACTCCTAAACTCGTTATAAACTTAATTGTTACAACGCTTTATTCAACTTGCACAGTAGGTCATCTAGCTGTTTCTCTATTTAGTCAACAGTCAATACTTCATTCAACAACATGCGGTATGGAATTCTCAAATAATCAACTGTCGGCAAAATCATATCGCCGAGAGTTCAAAGACATTGAGGTGACATTAATATTCCAGCGAAACTTCCTTGATCAGTGGCAAGTTAATGTTGGCCTAACATACTTATACATCAATGCAAGATTTTGGCTAAGTGTTCTAACCTATATATTAACATGGGCACATTTATCCAAATCCGGCATGTAATGGCATACATAAATATACTGGCTGAAAAAAACTTTATTTATAATTATTTCAGTCATCGATACGCTGTTATTCATTTACGGTACATGTAGTTTTTGCAGATAATTATTTAGGCAGTCATCTGAAATAGTAATTTCTAGATCCAGTTTTCGTTTTTTAAGTTTAAGTATTTCATTATCTATTTGCATCAGTTCCAGCCACAAAAACGAACAGTCAGAGCCATTATTAATGTTTCTGAATGAGTTAGATGCATTAAGCATTGGCATGCAGTTAGAATGATTTGAAACTGAAGGAATGCAAAACACATTATTTTCATTCGTTGACAGTTCAACGTTTTTAGAAGCTTCGGTCAAGAACGAAGACGAATTACCACTCAAACTTGGTTCTTCTGTCAAACCGTCACCACTGTTTTCATCAGAATTTTTATACGACATATCGGTGTCAGAATAATATATTCCGCTCGTACTACAAAGTGATGGATTCTCAATTAAGTGTTTATAATTTGATAAAAAATTCGCTGCTGCGTTTGTGAAAATCTGGCTAAGTAGACCATTAGTATTATCCTTCTGTGATATAGATTCACCTTCATTATAATTTTTTAGAATTGTTTCGGTTGGGTCGTAATCGAAA